GTGTGTGTGTGTGTGTGTGTGTGTGTGTGTGTGTGTGTTAAGAGATGTAGACTTGCATTTATAGCATTGCAAATACATTATTTTAAGCTTTATGTAAAGCAGAATGTATGCCTGAGGGCAAATTTTACAGTTTGCGATGCTTTAGTTTTAGTGCAAAAGAAAACAAAACCAAAACACTTACGTCTTTCCCTGGTGTTCCTGTCAGCCCTTGTAGACCAATTTCTCCTTTCTGACCTTTTTCTCCCTAGATGAAGTCAGCGAGAAGCATAAAGGGTTAGAATTTAATTGCACAATCATTAAAGAGTCACATACTGATAGTTAATCACCAAAAAAAAAAAAAAAAAAAATTCTAACTGCTCACCTTGTACCCAAGTGCTTCACCCCAGTTGGAAGCCGTTCCCTGTGGAGAAAAGCAATGGCAATAAGGCCCAGATCAACGACTTGGATATAAAAAAGAAACAAAATGCACACACTACTGGAGTATGGCAAATGCTGTGACCAGTCAGCAAGACATATGGTCTACTGGCAGGAAGCTGTTGCCCCACTAACTCACACACAAACACAACCACACAGTTTAAGAAATAAAACATATATATTAAGCAGTTTGAGGTGAATACAGGTGAACAGTTTGTTCAGAAATAAATTCAGACCACCTTCAGATTTTGGATTTTTGTTGTGTTGCTGCCTAATTCAATAACTGTTCATTTATTTATCTTTTCTTACTAAACTACACTCACAACCCGAGAATTACAATAGCTTCACTCTGGTGCAAAACTCTCCAAAATCAGCTTCATGGACTCAAACTGTGAGTAACAGGATGCTCTGGCTAAATTAAACCATTGAATTGCTTATCTATAACTTTAAATGCTGTGTTTGAAGTAAATCTGATACTTCTCAATACCATCCATTCTGTGAAGCATGATGGTGGCAGCATCATGATGTGGGAACGTTTTTCAGCAGCAAGGACTGAGAGACCATCAGGCAACAACACAACACAATTTCAAAATGTGGAGGGGGTCTGAATACTTTCTGAACCCACATTTGAATCAAACAACTTTTATTTTCCTACTTACACATAATGTAAGTGCAGTCTCAAGTCTGTTATAGTCTAACACATGACTATAGCTCACAACTGGTAAACACAATAAACAAATAAAGAACATCACTATTCTCACTGCATAATTATCACTGGGTATGTGTGCCTGAAAACAAGATTTTGCATTTCAAACAAACTTGAAAGCAAAAAGGGGTTAGTCGAGGTAACTATGGCTTTCTGCAGTAACCTGCAGCAGAACTCTGGCACTCACCGACTCGCCTTTCTCTCCCTTTTGGCCTTTGGGTCCTTCAGTGCACTGAGGTTAGAGACAGTTGGTTGGCACATGTTATCACACATCACTTTTGGCACACAGTTCAGGCTTACTGTGCTGCGTGTAGAGCAACAGAAGAGTACTTTTTTCTGCAAGAGAATCTGCACGGCATATGACTGGGACATGAAAGATGTTACTTACTGGACCTGAACTGGTGCCAGAACAGTCATCACCCTAAGATAGAGAGAGAGAAACATTGAATAAAAGCTTTTGGGTAAGAGAGAAAATTCAAAAGGCTTAACAATGCATTGCTGTGTTTGGTATACACATCCAGCATTGTGATATATTTCAGCAGCATCAAAGTGTTTAAGTGCTGGTCCTGTTGATACATGTGTTGACACTGCAAATCCCATTAAGTTCAGTTTTTACTCACATCTGGGTTGCTTTGCATACATTTTATTTTTACACTCACCCGGTCACCTTTTTCTCCTTTCAACCCAGCAGCTCCACCAAAGTTTACAACCTGCATAACACACACACCCACCCAACACACAGTTATACACTTTGCGGTTTAATACCTGTAACTACAGGAATAAATGCAAGTAAAGATCAGTGATCCTTACATTTTCCTCCCTACTTGGGAGTAAACAACCTGCACACTACAGACAGATACAAAGGAGTAAACAATCGTTAGTATTTTATTAGATACCTATACGGAAGGAGACTGGGGACTGTCTTGTAGTTTTTGCTTTTGCCTGGCAGTGGCACTCTTGCACAAAAACTAAACATTTGCCGACTGTGCTGCTGGAATGCAGCTGCACACTAACATCCACGTACGCACACAAACAACACACGCATGTCCCATTGGAGCAGGAGATCAATAGGAATGTCTGATTCCCACAGCACAGGAGCGAGGAGACCAGCTGCTCCTCCAGGAGGGCACAGACAAGCACACAGTCGCATGCACATGCCAAATAGGGATGGCAGTAATAAATAACTGAAGCGTTTTCAGCGGAAGCGGGTAATTAAAGCTGAATTACCGCAGTCTGTGTTTCTGGGAGTGTTGCTTTCACACACCAGGAAGTTTGCAATATGCTGAAGCTGTGACTGCGAGCTTGCTGAGACGACGAAAGCGAGCTTGTAACAGCACAGAGACAACGTGTAATGTTGCCTCTTCTCTCCAACCCACCACTCTTGCTCTAGAGTTACAAATCTCCCAATAGCTGCCTAAGCCAGCTGCAGTGACGAGCCACTTTTTCCAGATTCTCATATGTGAATGTGAGTTTGTTCAAGTAAAAAACAAAATAAAAAAACCATGCACTTACAGTAAAACTTCAAAAGCAGCAACTGTTGTTAATCTTCAATTTGACTTCAAAATGAGAGAAATATCATTTTATTGTCTCAATGTGCTGTCTTGTCTACTTTTTTTTTCCTTTTTTAACATATAATGATACAATAAAATACAGAAACAAATGTGTCTCATATAGGATTTGGCATTTACATTTATACTTTAAGTTTCAATCCATTGTTTCCATAGTAAATATCATGGATCACCAACTACAGGCAAGAGATTAAGTTTTGCAATAAATATAATCCCTTTACAGCATATTAAATCTCTGTACGGCACACAAACGGTGACCTTTTTGATATTCATACATACTCATTTTGTGCTGTTCTAGTGTGTCAGAAAAAAAAAAGTTCTGGATATAACATCAAAACGACATTCAACGAATGCATGTATCATTACAGGGATTTTCTTCTGCTCAAGTCTGTTGTGGTGTAACTGACTTAGGTCATGCAATTGTTACACTTTTGCTATGTAACACACTAGCAAAAGTGATAATTTAGTATAAAAGGGGGATTTTTTATCTTCTATCTGACAAAAAAAATAGGTTTCAAACAATGATAATCCTATCAAGTCTAACAGGAATCTCTCAGTTTTAGGAGGCGTGTAAACAGCTGCATGTTTACCAGATAAACATTAATATGATGCCAGAGGTTGAAATATGAATTTAGCTTTTTTTTTCTGAATTAAAAAAAAATCTAACTAAACTTTCTTCAACTTTTAAATAAAATAAAATAAAACTTTTTGGGGGGGAATTGTTGTTTTAACAAAAATATTAAAAAAGTTCCAATCTCCTGCCAAAGCACAACAAAATAAGAGCACAATCTTGCATGAGATCATTGCTAAACATGAAGTCCTGAATATATGTGTCTCTATGGGTTGTTAAATCCCTGCTGTACAACAATATGATGTAGAAGTAAAACTATTCTGAGACTGTAACACTGGCGTCAGTGTCAGTGTTTTTCTGCTGGAGCCTTTTGACTTGCAACACCAATAGGCGCTGATGTAGAGGGAACAGAATAGAAGAAGAAAAATAGCTGATGAGGCATGACATGAACACTGATGAAAATTGGCTTCTGACTGAACTTTGGGATTAACAAGCAGGAATCCAAAACCACCTCATATGCAGGTCATTTACTATTATAATAGTGCTCATTCAAATGCCTGTTCGGTGTATTTGTTGCTATTGTTGAAGCACTGCACAACATTTACACCCGCATTATCTTTAGAATTCTATAGGTCGCGCATTATCTTTTGCCTAAAAAGAACAGCCTGGGTAATTTAACCAAATTAAATCGACTTTTGTTTCTTCATCAGTTTGTGCCTCCAGTGGCGGGGCCAGTCGTGCGCTCCAACCCAGGTAATAACCTACATTGAGGAAGTCGGGGAGAGTCAGCCAGATAGATTAGTAAGCACACACAGGAGCAACATAATGAAGCGTCTGGAGTTTTGTATTCTATTTGTGAACAGAACATGCCTATTGTAGGTGAACGACAAAATTAATAGGCAGCCGCAACTCCCCGACTGAGACCTTGCACATAATGAGGCGTAAATCAGTTCTCAGTCAGCCAGTGTTTGAGAAACGCAGGAGGAAGCGAAGACAAATGCTCAACAGATTTAGCCTACATGTTGTCCTCTTGTTTAAATTCCAACAGTCACTGCAAGTCTCTCGGTAATCCTGGTCCCTGCACTGGGTTGGGGAAAGTGCATGTACTGGATTGCCACTCTATTTTAAGAGAACCCTCAGTTCATCTAACTTCCTTATCATTTTGTGAACAGTAGAAGGAAACTGGAGCATGTGTGAAGGACATGCACTTTTTTTTTCTTTTCGAACCAAAGGCTGAGTAAGCTATCTCACAAGCCTCGTTAAAAAAATAAAATAAAATAAAGCTATATTGTTAAATCACTTGTATATAAGTGAATCATGATGCTTACCTTTTCTGCAAGATCCTTCGATGGAAAGAAATCCTGTTGGCACAAATAAGCAAACAAATAAAAATTAATGTGGCATCTTTATATTGCCTTAATGCATATACAATGTGACTTTATTTGTTTATTTTTTATTTTGTTATGGGGGAACTGTTGTTCTCTCGCTGCATGTACAGTGCATTATTTTAAATCTTGTAACCATTGCAATGCATTGCATCAGATAAACAACAATAAAAGATGAAATGGGGGCCATCTTGGTTGCACACGTGGGTCATTAGCATTTATTCTTTACCCTGTAAAAGAAGAAAATATAGATGAAAGAGGAGCGAGAGGACGAGAAGTATCGTATCCCATGAGCCCTGGGGTATATAAAGAGACAAAGCTTGCTGTGCACAGAATAACAAATTGGATTTGAAAACAAAACAAGCAAACAAACAAAAAAAAAAGAACAAGGAGGTAGAGAAAGAACTGGACTGGGTGAAAACAACTGGTCCAATAGCAAGTTAGAAAAAAAAAGTTTTGGTAAAATAAAATGAAAAAAGTTATTTTACAGGTGCTGCTGTGCTTCGTCATAAAAAAAGTCAAGTAGACGTGGAGGGAAAAAAAAAGACAAAGAAGACTTTGGATCTTTGAAGCCTAGGTGACCTTTCAGCTGGGAACTGGGTTGAAAGCAAGAAAGGGGAAAAAAGAGGCTTACAGTGCGGCAAGAAAAGGAACGGTGAGGGTGAGATTTGTCTTATCTCAGGAAGGCAGTAACTGCTGTGACCCCCACACACAGACAAGCAATCTGCACATAACCCTGTACTGAACCCATATTTGATACTAGCTGCAAAGAAAGGTTGTTTGACATCACTAGAAGATGGGGTTCAGTGCTGTGGGTCAGAGCAGTCAATTATGCCTCTTGTATCCCACTGCCCTGCTGCTGAGGCAACTATTACAAATTGCTACAGAAAAAAAAGTTATTCAAGCCAACAGAACTGCATGCTAATCTTCGTAAAGACTAGAAATTGCCAAAGATGGCAAACGTTAGACTTGGATTTGAGTGAAGCTTTTCAGGTTTTTTTTCTCTTTTCTTTGTTTTGTAAGCCACCTGAGCAGCTGCTAGCTTCATGTTTGTATAGTCCCATAAGGAAAATTAAAATCAGTGACCTCCCTCTTTTTTTATTTATTTTTTGCAGTAAAACAAGTAAGAGTAACATCAATGATTATTATTATTATTTTTCTTTTTAATTTTTCTAAATCTAGTTAACACATTTAATGCAACTCCAGTTTTATTCTCTACTGAGCCACAAAGAATGGGGCACCAAGTGTAAACTAAAATGAAATAAAAAAGTGACACTAATACCTTTTCAATATTTAACTCATTTTCTGAGTGTAAAATCCAGTTCAAAATTTTCTACTAACATTTAGTTATTTAGCTCGCAGTTCCTCAATTTGGCTATTTTTTACTAAATGTACTAAATGTAAATTTTATGTCTTCTGTGCAAATCTAAATACAAAAGTTAAATCTTAAATATTGTGGTTGAAGTTTACATATAAACATTTCTGAATGGAACGCAGTTTTTGCCATTGGTTGGCGGCATTTGTTATGACGTCATCATCCTGAGACAAAAGCTAATGCCACAAACGCCGCTAAGGCTGCAAACGCATCCCTACATAACATTAAACGTCAGTTGCGGCTGGTGTCTGAGTTGCACTTCAAACTGCCGAACCACAGGTACCATTCCTGTTATTTTCATGGTTTGAATTCAAAATTTAAACGCCATCTTCAGCAGTGTTAGCAGTGTTAGCTTTTGTCGCATAATGATGATGTCACAACAAAAGCCACACACCAACACCAAATTGTAAGAACAGTGAGCTAAATAATAGTATACTGTTTGTGGAAATTTTTGAACTAGGATTTTACACTCAGAAAGTGAGCTACATAATTAAAAATACTTTATGTTAGTGATGTTTTTAAACATTTTATTTACCACTTGGTGCCCCATATCACAGGGTTTCGTGCAAATTCCCCAGCTCTAATTAGCAGAACTGCATAGCCAATCCATATTAGGCAACTTAAACAAAAAATAAAATAAAAAAATACACATCCTCAGAAGTTGGGCTTTCCACACTATATTTAACCCACGGTGAACCTTGTGTTTCACATGTGCAGAGCACCCAACATTCCATACATACAGAGCTTAATGTGCTGTCACTTAGCGAGGCTTTGTTTAATCAATGGAAGCTGTTTTGTGGCTTTGTAACATCTGGGCTGCACACTAGAATCTTAGATTTCACAGTCCATTTATTGTGTAAGAAAACTGATGTACAGATGTAAATGGTAAGTAAGACCTTGAGTTCATTTGTGCTTGTATGTGCCTGCATGAGAGCAAAGACAAAAAGTAAAACCAATTTAAAAATATGCCAATGGAATAGAAGAAATGTGTTGTTGAACACATTATAATATAGAGAGATTGAGGGAATTTTATTAGGCTAAAAGCATATTCACATTAGCGTTTAACAAATCTTCCACGTCTAGAGGGATTTGTCGGTTTTGTCGATGCTATTTTGTTAAAAGAATCCAGGTGAGAGTGGAGCATTTGTTGAAATGTCACACTGCTGAACACATGGCAGAGGCTCTCATTTTATTTCTGCTTTCTTTTTTATAATTCTTAGCAAAGTCTGTCTAAAATGTGTAAAAAATTTGAAGCTTGGTAATTAAAAACAGTAGGTGTATGCTCTGTCATCTGATGTGTTAAGGTTTACAAGTCTCAAAGCCTTTCAACTTGAAAAGTCCTAAAGGCCTTTGAAGTCGTTTATATATACAGTATATATAAAC